TAATGAGATTCATGATATCAAATTAAATGCAGAAACTATGACCTTTTACATATATACACCTAATTCAAAAAACGTTGTCATCGCCAAAGGCGACAGGCAATAGGCAATAGGCGAAAAGCTATAGGATATATGTCATTCCAAGATCCAAGAATAGCTRGAATGACTTGTGTTTCTTTTTCTTATTCTCGTCAAGAACATGGACCTTAGTGATGAGACTGATTCAATGTTCTTTGTATTTAACGAAACCATTTCCATGTCGGAATGACCTATCGCCTATCGCCTTTGGCGATGACAATGTTTTTTGAATTAGGTGTATACAAGTATATCAAAAGTATATCAAATATTATGGGAAATCCTCCCTGATATTTTTTTCAGAAAGCCCTAGTGATAGACAACTCGAAAAATATATCAGGAACGAATTCTTATATTTTGATATACTTTTGATATACTTGTACTAAAGGGTCAAAGTTTTTGTTATATATTTTTACATATATATATTGATGGTTTTCAACCATTCCCAAGAGAATTGAATAACAAAAGACACGGCGGCCATGTTGGAGGAATTCATTGACAATTCTTTTGTTAAGTTCCTCCAACATGGCCGCCATGAAAACCATCAATACAGCGATATGCAGAAATTACTATCTCTGATATTTTTTTCAGAAAGCACTAGTGATAGGCAACCCGATAAAAATATCAGCGATGATAATCCATATAATCCACATAATTTCTGATATACTTTTGATATGCTTGTATATATGTACGAAAAGAATCAGAATTTCTGCATATGGCTGCTGTATATATATATATATATATATTTAAAACACTCATTAATAATTCATAAGTTTATGGTCCAATTGGAGCCACCATACACGACACATGTGATCTTTATATAAAGACCACTCGAATACTATGAGGATGACTTCATCAGGGATGAAGTATGCATCTAAGCTTAGATGAAGACATAGAGCTTCATCAAGGTCATAGTCAACCCTAATGATCTTTGACTAACGTGCCTGTCTTTGCCTTGGCACGCAATATCCAACGTTTAATATCCATTTCCAGCGCTTAAAAACAACTGATTTATAATCTGTACGATCTAATAGACAAGAAAAAAAAATTTTGATAGTCATTGAATGAAACAAACAATAAATAAAGCGATTTTTCTGTTTTGCATATCATTAAATATACTGAATAAATTAGATATTTGTATAAATGTATACTACAACGTTTCTGCAATCGAGTGTATATATATATATACACGCGTTTCTGCAATCGAGTGTATATATATATATATATACACTCGATTGCAGAAACGTTTATTGTTTGTTTCATTCAATGCCTGTATGTGTCTTTTGTTCTCGAGAGCCGAAACAATAGAAATACATACACACTCGATTGCAGAAAGGTAGCAGTATACATTTTATGCATATATACAAA